AACTTCTCAGCTGCTAGTTACAAGTTACAGTCATACAAAGTAACAAATCAATTCAAATTTAAATGATGTTATTGTTAAGTGCCCTTGAATCCTAGAGCTGCCAGTGATTTTGAACTGCCAACCTTGCAGTTCAAACTGACCTTGCCATCCAGTGCTTAGTATCCAACAGCGCCACACCAGGACTCCTCAAATTTAAATTGTTGTTAAGTGCTGTCCAGTTGGTTCTGACTCATAGTGATCCTGTACAGGGTGCTCAAGGAGCAGCTGGTGAGTTTGAAAGGCCTTGAGGTTCTTCAAATTGACCTTGTGGACCAGCGCTTATTCTACAATGCCACCAGGACCTTAAATATTGTTTTGGTGTTAAGTGTCTTAGCGTTGGATCCGACCTATACCAAGCCTGTATAGGGTGTCCACGGAGTGGCTGGTAAACTTGAACCGCAGACCTCTGTGGTTCAAACTGACGCTGCCGTCCAGCAAATTAACCCACAGCGCCACACCAGGACTCCGGGCTTTCAATTATTGTTGCTGTGTGCCATCGAGCTGGCTCCGACTCATAGTGACCCTATATAGGGTTTCCACAGAGTGGCTGGTGAGGCTTAAAACTGCAGTTCAAACCGACCCTGCAGTTCAGCGCATTAACCCAAAGCACCACACCAGGACTCTGGACTTTGAATGTTATGTGCCATGGAGTCGATTCCCACTCATAGCGACCCTGTACGGGGTTTCCAAGGCTGTAAAACTTTACAGGAGCAGAAAGCCTCATCTTTCTCCCATGGAACAGCTGGTAGTTTCAAACTGCAGACAGTGAAATCAGCAGCCCTATTCGTAACCACTACGCTACCAGAGTTCCTTCTGGACTTTGAATAGCTACCTAATAATCCCCAGGTAATTCTAATTTAGGACTCACCATGTGGCACTGTGGGTTAATGCACTGGACTGCAAAGTAGGTTTGAACCTCAAGATCAGCAGTTCAAGTTCACCAGCGGCTCCTCGAAAACCCAATATAGGGTCGCTATGGGTCGGAACTGACTTGACAACTAACTGAGGAGCCCTGGAGGTGCAGTGGTTAAGACTTGGCTGCCAACTGAAAGGCAGTATGCAGTTTGAACCCACCAGCCTGGAAACCCTATGGGGCAGTTCTACTCTGTCCTATGGAGTGGCCTCAAATCAGCATTATCTCAATTCAAAGAGGACAGTAGGTGTTTTATGATTTTGTATTCTAATTTGCATACTGTTGTTAAGTGCCATCAAGTCTGTTCCCACTCACAGTAACCCTGTACAGGGTTTCTGAAGAGCAGCTGCTGGGTTTGAACTGGTGACCTTGTGGTTCAGTCAGTGCTGATCCACAATGTCACACCAAAAGTCCTAGTACATAAATATGGTCCTAGCATTTCAAAGACAACTCTGACAAAGTGTTAAAATTTAGACTAACTCTGAAATATAATTGCGTGATTTGAGCACTTTCTCAACATGAAGCACAATGCCGCAAAACACTTGTAACAAGCTGGTTTGTTAGTATAAACAGTTCTCAAACACAAACCAAGGTACTTGTCTTAGTTATCCAGTGTTGCTGTAAGAGAAGTATCACCAACGGGGAGCTTCAACAAACAAAAAACTACTTTCTCAGTTGAGGAGGCGTCCCACTGTCTTCAAGTCCATCTCAACTCATAACTCACAGCGACCCTATCGGACAGAGCAGAACTGCTCCCTAGTTGCCAAGGTTGCAGATTTTGATGGAATCAGATGGCCTCATCTTTTAACCAAGGCCCGACAGGTGGGTTTGAATGGACAACCTTCAGTCCAACACTTAAGCTGCTGTGCCAATAGGGCTCCTGTTTAGGAGGCTGAAGTCCAGATTCAGGGTGCTGGCTCTAGATGAAGGCATTCTGTCCGTTCTGTACACAGAAAGGTCTTTCTCTCTTCTGATCCTGTACCTGGGCAGTCTTCACATGGCTTAGCATCTCCTCTGCTTCGGTTCACTTGGTAGTTGTAGTAGTCAAGTGCCATTGAGCCAGCTCCAATAGGATTTCCTAGGATCCGCTCGTGGTTTGAACTGCCATCCATGTGGCTAGCAGTCCAGTGCTTATCCTATAGCACCATACCAGGACTCCATGCTCTCTTGCTCAATCTCTTTTATATTTCAAAAGAGACTGGCTGAGGCAAGAGAACCCTATATTAATCCTATTTCTAAAGTAACAATGAGAACCCATTCTCAAATGGAGTTACAGCCACAAGCACAGCGGTTGGGACTTACAACATAGTATTCTGGGAGACACAATTCAATCCTTAACAATACTTCATGGGAAATGATTAAAAAAATATTTTTTTTAAGTGGCCAAACTTTAATTAGTAATGGCTACCTTGTGGCACTCTAAGGAGCTCTAGTAGTGTAGTGGTTACGAATTGGGCTGCTAACCCTCAAGGTCAACAGTTCGAAACTACCTGCCATTCTGCAGGAGAAAGATGGGGCTTTCTGCTCCAGTAAAGATTTACAGCATCGGAAATCCTGTACAGGGGGCACTATGAGTCGGAACCAACTCTATGGCACATAACAACAACCTTGTGGCACTATGGGATAAGCACTGGACTTGCGAACCACAAGGTCAACGGTTCAAACCCACAAGCTGCTCCTTGGAAACCCCCTAGAGGATCGCTATGAGGCAGAATAGACTCGACTTGACGGCACTTAACAAGAACAACCTTTTGTGGAATGGGGAAGGTGGAGTTGCTGTTAAGTGCGTCCCAACTCCAAGGGTTTCCAAGGAGCTGCTGATAGGTTTGAACTACTGACCTTGTGGTTAGCAGTCCAGTGCTTACTTTACAGCAGCACCACTCCAGGACTTCTTGCAATTTCTATTATTTCATTTTAAATATTTAGTGTGAACATATTCATCAGCCCATGCTTGCTGCCCAAAAAGATGCACGTACCAGAAATCCAAATCCACTGCCGCCAAGTGGATTCCAACTCCTAGAGAACCTATAGGACAAAGCACAGCTGTCCCATAGGGTTTCCAAGACTGTCATCTTTACAGAGGTGCCCTGGTGGTAGTGGGTTAAGCGTTGGACTTCTAACCGAAAGGCTGGTGGTTCAAACCCACTGTCACTTCTCAGGAGACAGATGTAAGATCTACTGTCCCAGAAACCCTAATGGGCAGTTTCAGTCTGCCCTACAGGAAGAGCGCTGTGAGTAGGCAGTAACTCGGTGGCAGTGCGTTTTGGGGGTTAATCTTTAGGGAAGCAGACTGCCATATCTTTCTCCTCAAAGAGCAGCTGGTAGATTGGAACCAGCGAGCGTAGTCTAGCAGCTAAGCACTTAACCACTGGCCACCAGTGCTCCTTTGTAAGACAACCCCCTGCCATTCGCAGTGTCCTCTGTGTGTAGTGTCCACAGCCATTGAGCCTTGTGGCTCACAGTCCAGCGCAGATCCTAGAATGCCACACCCGGAGTCCAGTGGATGCACCACTGTTGTTAAGTGTCCTTGAATCTGTTCCAACTCATAACAACCCTGTATAGGGTTTCATAGGAGCAGCTGGTGAGTTTGAACCACCGACCTTGCAGTTCAAACAGCTTTACAGTCTGAGGCATTAACCCAGAGCGCCACACCAGGACTCCCCATAGTTCCCTTTTGTTGTTAAGTGCCCATCGAATCAGTTCCGACCCAAAGAGACCCTGTATAGGGGTTCCAAGGTGCAGCTGGTGAGCTTGAAACACCTTAGCCAACCAAAAACTTTAAAGCCTAGTATAAACTCGGTGAAAATGAAAATAATTGTTAGCGCACTACACATTTGTCCTCAATTGTTATTTTTTTCTTATAAGGAGAGTAAACAGTAGCTATTAAAACAAAGTGCAATTCTACTGCAAGTTTTTATTATGTTGCAATCTTTGTCACTCAGCATGTTCCTTTGCAGGTGTTAAAGTCGCAACAGGAATTTCTACACTACAAGCTCGTTTCTGTGCAGGGTGGGGGGCAAAAAAGCACTAATCTGAATTTCAGTACCTATCTCACCATGCCACAGATTAGGAAATCACCATAGCTTTTGTTTCTTAAATATGTGTCCCCAGACGTAAATTCCAGTGTAGACGGGCCATTTCTTCCACTTTTCACAAACTAGTCTACCCTCCACCCAAACTGGTTTTCAGATCTGAGAAGTGGGATTCCCCTAAGCGGGATCCCTCATCCGGCTCTTGACTTTTTCGAAACTCTTGCCAATTTCAACAGCGCTCACACGTCAAACGAGAGCAGGCCAGCGCAAGTACCAGACCAAGTGGATCCGCGAATCCTGGGGGGGCGGCTCTCCATCTGGTTTAGTATTTCATACTTGAGCTAAAATGTGGTTCCAGGAAGCAGTAGAACGTCCTGTCTGAAATGGACCAAAACCACCAACCCAGGCCACATTCGCTCATCTACTTTCGGGAGTGTGTAACTCTCCTAATAATCAAGGGGCTTCAAAAAGTTCGTGGGAAACTTCCATTCTTTTTCTATTCCATTTTTCCACGAACTTTTTGAAGCCCCTCACCCCACCCCCGTACTTCTGGGGGTCGGCGGTTCAAGGTCGTTAGGATACAAATAAGGCTTCCAACGTTAACGCATTTCGCAGCCGGCGAGCCCTTCACTCAAAGCTGAACAATAAAGCATCTTCCTTCGCGCTCTAGCCCGTTAAAACGGCCCCAACGGCCGGGCCAAACGCCACGACGGTGCCGAGGGCAGGGAGGCCGCGGCTCGGACACCGCCCCTCGGGGCTCCCGGGACCCCCGACGCCGGCCCTGGGGCGCAGGAGACACACACCGGCAGCAGCGGCCCCGACAAGCCCGAGACCCGAGGGCGGCTGCTCCCAGCCGGGGGCGGAGTAAAGCGCTGCCCGCGCCCGCCGGGCCGAGTCTCGCTAGGAACCCCCAGCCCCGAATTGGCGAGCCGTGGAGTGAGCGGTCCAAGCATAGGGTCGGGTGGTCTCCTCAGAGCTACGGCAGGGAGGGCATCGGGGAAAAGTGGGCGCCTCACCTGCTCCTCCCGAGACAGCCGCTACCGCACGCTGAGGGGACAACATGGAGCCTCCGCCTTCAGTAGAAGCAGCAGGGGCGTAGAGGGCTGGGCGGGAAACGGGCGGGGCCTGGGCGCTGGAAGACACTGAGCAAGAGGACTGGGGAGCCCAGCCGTCCGAGAGCAAGCGCAGGGCGGGTCCGCCGAGCCCCACCAAAGCGCAGCGGCGCGGCGAACGCAGGGCGGGCCTGGGCGGGAAAGCGCACGCGGCCGAGTCCTGCCCCCGCCCGAGAGTGTGCGCGTGCGCAGGAGAGCACCGCCGGCTGGCTAACCTTGGGCAGGGCTCTGAGGCCGACGGTCCGTTGGGTATTGTAGTCCCTCGTTGTCTGAGTCCCAAACGGTCGTCCCCATTCTGCTCACTCATCCGAGGAGGGTGAGGCTTACAGCGGCTCTTCGACGACTGAACTACAATTCCCAACAAACCGTGCGTGGGAGTTGGGAGGCGAGGACCCACCCCGACCCGCCAGCGAGCCGGGCCTTAGGGTTGTAACCGGGCCGGGTGGCAGCTTTGGGGTCCCGTGTCATGCACGCCTGCCGGCCGCCATTAAAATACTTTGATGTATAATTTAGGCGTGGGCCACAGATGGGCGTCACCCTGCACTAAGGACCGTATTGAGGCCTTATCCCTGAATGGCTTGAACGTCACGGGTATTTTAATGATTTTGACTTCACAAGGAGAGGAGGCAATGACTTCATGACCACCATCAGCAGCAGCACCCCATATTCTTGCCTCCAACCAAGGACTCCTGGTGTTGTGCTGTAAGATCGACAATGGACTGCGAACCACAACGTTGGCAGTTAAAACCCACCGGTTGCTCCTTGGAACACCTATACAGGGTCGCTATGAGTTGGAACTGACTCCAACCGCAGTTAACAACCAAATCTGATGCTGCACATCACCCTTATAAAAGGGAGACTCCTTCCACGGGTTTTACAGTCTCTCATGTAAAGCACAATGTCTGTTGTATAGTTGTTGTTGTTAAGTCCTAAAGCACAATGTCTGTTGTATAGTTGTTGTTGTTAAGTACCGTGGAGTCAGCTTTGACTCATAGTGACCCTACACAGGGTTTCCAAAGCTGTAAATCTTTACGGGAGCAGACCGCCTCATCTTTCTCCCGTGGAACCACTGGTAGTTTCGAACTGCCAACCTTGAGGTTAGTAGCCCGATTCGCAACCACTACGCTACCAGAGCTCCTTGTATAGTAGTGGTAGTGATTAGTGTCATTGAGTGGATACCATCCAACTCATGGCAACATAAAACACAAGGTTCTCCGAAAATACTGTTAAGCATTCTCCAATTCCCAGCCTCTTGGCATTTTTGTCACTCTGATTTGACAGATATATGATTTATTTGACTTGCCTCTGCCTCTGCCTCAGCTATTATAATCTATTCAAGACCTACTTGCAGCTCTCTGTCAAGCCTTTAAGGTTGTTTTTTTTTTTTTTACTTCCCAAGTGATTATGTCAAAGGTGAAGAGGGTAAAGATCCTTCTACTTAATCCTACCTAAAGAAATCACTTTGGTTCCTTTCCCAGATCCTTCTGGTACTCCCTCAAACTCTTGAGATTTCAACACACACATACAGACAGACCAGGCTTCAGGTTTAAGAGACTAGATTAGATCTAGACCAATTAAAGTCAGCCAGAAACTAGAAGTGAACATCAAGGCAAGTGGTCACTAGGGATTCACACTGGGTGTGTAGCAGGCAGGACCTACAGGATGTGACACACATCCAGGGCATTATGTGGCTGCTCTGAAAGAGAAAGGAGGGGGTCAAAGGCCAATGACTTGTCACAATTGAAACATAGTGTGTAAGAATTTTAAATTCCTACCTTTTGAAGATCCTTACACCCCAAGATTCTCCTGCTGGATTTTCTCCATAAAACTTCTTGCCAGCTGACTTACGTTCTACTTAATGTTTCGTCTCTTCCCATTAGGATACAAGTTCAAGAAGGACAGGACTATTTGTCTGTTTTGTTTTCTGCTATATCTCCAGCACCTCAAACATTGCCAGAGAGACACCAGAGACTCAACATCTGTTGAATGCATAAAGAAGTTATATTTACACTGAATCTGGCCACTTTGTTATTAGTCACCACTGAGTTGATTCCAACTCATGGAGACTTTATGTACAATGGAGACAACCGTAGCTGTGTTCCCGCTTCATCCTTACAATCACCAACATGCCAGACAGAGCCCAGCATTGTGGCTACTGTGCCAACCCTTTTCACCAAGCATCTCCTGTGCCCTGATTGGTCTTCTTCTTCACCAAAACACCAGCAGTGGTAGCAGAGCTTTCAGAATTCTAACAACACAGGAGCCACCAATATAAACACACTAACAGATGGGTTGTAGTCAGTCACTTGATTGTTGTGTTGTTGAGTGCCATTGACTCTGTATAGGGTTTCCCAGGAGTACCTGGTGACCTTGAACTGAAGCTCCACATCAGAACTCCCGCCACACTATTATTGCTTTAATGTTAAGTACCTAACTTTTGAGTCCTGATGTGACGCTGTAGGATAAACACTGGACTGCAAGGTTGTTTTTAACTACAAGGTCAGTGGTTCAAACTCACCATCCACTCCTCAGTAACCCTATACAGGAGTGTCATGAGTCGGAACTGACTTGATAGCACTTAACAACAACAACAGCTCTGAACAAAATATCTTGTTCTATTTTAAGGGCTCCCAATCAAGACCAGGTAAAGACTTAGTGTGATGCTATGGGATAAAGCACTGGACTGCAAGAATCGTATGAACCACAAGGTCAGTGGTTCAAACTCACTAGCTGCTCCTTGGAAACCCTATAAGGGTCACTGTGAGTCACAACTAACTCAGCACTTAACAACAACAACAGTAAAGACCCAGGAAGGAGACTTGATAGTCTAGTGGATTACATATTGGACTACTAACTACAGGGTCAGCAGCTCAAATCCACCAGTAGTTCCATGGAAGAAAGGTGAGGTTTTGCTCCCATAACGATGTACGGCCTTGGAAGCCCCACACAGGGTCACTATGAGTCAGAACCGACTGGATGACACATTACCACCAATAAAGACCCAGAAGCATGGTGGCTCTGTAGGATAAACACTGAACTGTGAACTACAAGGTCAACAGTTTGAGCCCAGTCACTCTGTGGGAGATAGATGAGACTTTCTGTTCCCACAAAGCTTTACAGCCTTTACAGTGTTGCTACGAGTCGGTACCAACTCCATGTCAGTTAACTAAAATAAAGGCCCTCTGAAATTCATTTTGTTCAGAAGTGATCAGCAAATACTGATATTTATCTCAATATAATGATATTATCAAGGTTAATATTAGTACCCCATACCTTGTAGAAGCTTTCCCACATTTCAAAACAACTATACAAATTATAGTGGATATTAGGATTAGACAAAGTTTTGAAAGCAACCTCTGTAAATGAGAAACAGGAGGGCTTTTTGTTGTTGCCTTGATTTCCTTCTGAAACATCCAGGGTCATCCAAACAGAAAACCTTCAAACTGCTACATGCTGATGAAACTGATTACAACCTTTCTGCAATCAGCCATGTCACACTCAATTCACTGCGTAGGGGGAGCTGGAGGCTGGGCTGTCTTTGTGGGTCAGAAGTAAGCGGCATGAAGGCATGTTTGAGTGGTAAAGGCTACACACTTTGGGGTCAGAGAGACTTGGCTTTGAATTCTGGCTCTAATGCTCACTGGCTATGCAACCTTGGGTGAGTCACTTAACCTCTCTGAATCTGTTTCATCATCTGCACAATAATCCAAATACCCACATCACAGAGTTGTTGTGGTTTCAATTAAAGGCATTTGGTCATGATGATGAGTGTGTGGTCAATATTCAAAAATTAGAAAACATTATATTCATTCTGGAAAAGCAAAACAAAGTCATAAAAAAGATACTCAAGCATATTATAAAGCATACAAATAACAAAGTTGTTTTCATCAATAAGCATTCACTCTGTGACTCAGATTCCAAAGCTTTCCAAATTCAGGGGGTTTGTTTATGTGCCAGGCCCATTGCTAGGCTTTAATGCTGCAACAACACCTAAGACACACTCCTGTTCTTCAGGAACACATGATGCAGTGGATAAACAGCCAAAGAAACATCATTTGCTATGTCCTGCTGTGTTGTTGTTGTTGTTAAGTGCCATCGAGTCGGGTCCGACCCATAGCGACCCTGTACAGGGTTTTCGAGGGTGTAAATCTTTACGGGAGTAGAAAGCCTCATCTTTCTCCCGCGGAGCAGCTGGTAGTTTCGAACCGCTAACCTTAAGGTTCGCAGCCCGATTCGTAACCTGTCCTGCTGTGTAGTGGATTACAAAATCAGCAGTTATAATCTACCAGTCGTTCCATGGGAGAAAGATGAGGCTTTCTGATCCATAAAGATTTCCAGCCTCGGAAACCCTATACAGGGTCGTGATGAGTCAGAACCGACTTGGTGGTACACAACCATCATCATCATCATCATCATATTCGGTTTGGCACTGTAAGATAAGTACTAAATCACAAGGTCAATTTTAAGCTTGCGGGCAGTGGTTCAAACTTACTAGCCACTCCTCAGAATTCTTATGCAGGGTCATTAAGTGTGTTGTTTAATCACAAAAGCAAGGAGCTCTGGTAGCGTAGTGGTTAAGAATCCGGCTGCTAACCTCCTGGTCAGCGGTTCAAAGCTACCAGCTGTTCCATGGGAGAAAGATGAGACTTTCTGTTCCCGTAAAGATTTAGTCTTGGAAACCCTGTACAGGGTCGCTATGAGTCAGAACCGACTCCAGAGCACATAACGAGTCACAAGGGTAGCAATGATGACTAGACTGGGTCAGTCTCTTCTTCAGCCTTCTTCCCTATCATCTCCTTGCAGGATTTAAGCAATGCGTTGAACTACGAAGGCCGTTTGAGTTGCAAGGTCGGCAGTTCAAATCCACTGGCCACTCCTTGGAAACCCTGTACAAGGTCACTATGAGTCAGAATGGACTGGACAGCACTTAATAACAACAACAAAAACAAGAAAGGGATAAGATGGAACACTAACACCCCTGAG